CTCATGACACCATTCGAACGCCACGAGCCTCTATTGACACGATTCGAACGCCACGAGCCTCTATTGACACCATTCGAACGCCACGAGCCTCTCATGACACCATTCGAACGCCACGAGCCTCTCATGACACCATTCGAACGCCACGAGCCTCTCATGACACCATTCGAACGCCACGAGCCTCTCATGACACCATTCGAACGCCACGAGCTTCTCATGATACCATTCGAACGCCACGAGCCTCTCATGACACCATTCGAACGCCACGAGCCTCTCATGACACCATTCGAACGCCACGAGCCTCTATTGACACCATTCGAACGCCACGAGCCTCTCATGACACCATTCGAACGCCACGAGCCTCTCATGACACCATTCGAACGCCACGATCCTCTCACGACACGATTCGAACGCCACGAGCCTCTCGTGACACCATTCGAACGCGAGTACGTGGTTGCTACGGCGCGTCGAAGATTCAGCTTGGGTGTTATTGTCCAAGAGTGGATCGCTAGATAAACATGGGTCCTTTTCCTTCCTTCCTTGGTAATGGTATGGTATGTATGCTATTTGAAGATGTCAGTTCCCGAACACCACCGCCGAGGTAAGAGGGCGTTGGGTGGAAAGGTTGTTTGGGGGGAATTTGTCATTTTTATTCCTGGCAAATCGGACGGAGGAGGATGTTGTAAAATTTATGAAAACATGTCAGACGCCAACCACACTCTCTCCTTCGTCGGGCACTGAGCTTGCTAATTGCTTAGACAAGCGATGGTATAATTTATTCCTTTATATATATATATATATATATATATATATATATATATATATATATATATATATATATATTTATTTATATGTATATATATATATATATATATATATATATATATATTATATATATATATATATATATGTATATATATATATATATATATATATATATATATATATATATATATATATACACGTAGGTATATATACATGTGTACATATATGTATACATATATATGTACATATATGTATACATTTATATATATATATATATATATATATATATATATATATATACACGTAGGTATATATATATATGTGTGTGTGTGTGTGTGTGTGTGTACATATATACGTACGTACATAAATGTGTGTATATGTATATATATACATATGTATATATATACACACATATATATGTAAATATATACATATATGTACATATAAATACATATATATATTAGCCAAGCGAGCGTGATTTAACTTCTGACTGCCGACGCCGCAATATGGGTTGCAGGCATTCAGATCGGCTTTCAGGAGCTTTTAAAGGATTATTATGCTCCCGCAGTGAAGGAGACATGTCTTTCAAAGTTTATGTAAAGTGAGTCATTCGCGGCATTAGGAATGTACCCAAGTAATGGAAGACTACCGGACTGTCATATATATATATACATATTTCACGAGCCCTAATTTAAATAATGTGTACATAATGTTATATGTAGAAAGAAAACATACTTTTTCGATTTGATAGTACCTTTTCATAGCATGTAATGGTATTTTGCTATTCACCGACCACTGACCGACAACCGAGCCATATGGGGTAGGATATTCACATATATATATATATATATATATATATATATAGAGAGAGAGAGAGAGAGAGAGAGAGAGAGAGAGAGAGAGAGAGAGAGAGAAAGAAAGAGAGAGAGAGAGAAAGAGGCGTGTCGGGTCACAAGATACTTTGCTCTTTCTTCCTTGTTCCTGGGATGTTAGACTGGTCTCCAGTAAATTTTGAAGAATGATTGAGACGGACATGCGACGCTGAACCTCGCCCGGGCTATGCCTATGAAGGAGCCTGGCCTGTGCCGACTAATGCCGACTCGATTAGAGTGTGTCAGCTGGTGCTGACTCGACTGAACTCTGTCCTCACCCGCCGTGGTGCTCAGTCACAGCGGTAATCTTCAGACGACTGTTGCGTCCTCTCGCGCCTGGACGGGGCGGAACCGCCAACCCCTCGGCTGTTGATGATGAATTGGTATTCTTATGTTGTCTGTCTGCCCAGCGTCTCCTGTGCAGACGTTATTGACCTTTTAGATATACTCCCCTCTGGATGGCTTTCATTTTAACGACGTGGAGCCATTTGCAGGCTTTGATGTGCATGGCAGAGGTCCTCTTCTAGGTTAGCTCCCCTGAGTCTTTCCAGAGAGAATGAATTTTCAAGTTCGCCGTTCCGCTTTATGTGTTCTAAGATTTTGAGTCCTTTTTATTGTCGGTATAAAAGCTTTTTCCCGGGAGCTTTGTCAATTACTGTATGCATGAAAGAACCGTAATTAACTATTTCGGGTTTCCTTTCAATTTTCTTCTGTCACTATTACGGGTCTTTCTTGAAGCTTTGTTTCTAAGTGAGCTGTTAGTGAGTGATGAGTTGCGATTTTATTATATGGCCTTTAGATGTGAAAGCTTTGACATTTTTTTTTTAATGAATCTCAATATTCTTATTATATAGGTTGAGTAAGCT